ATCTGCACTCAAGGTAACGTCCCTCACCCCCTCCCCCCCACTGAAACTCTGACACGGCGGTAAATGGATGGCGTGCGATGTAGTGTGACAGATGTAATGTGCACGCCACACCTTAGACATTACGACTAGCTTGCCATCTCTTGAATTTGTGGACGATTTTAAAGTACATCTAGTAAATAAGTGGTTTTTTCGAAAAGTATTTGTAGTTGTCGAATTTAGGATGTAAGTTTGGATGTCTGTACAATGCTAGACAAACCGAAAGTAGTGACAAGGTTTTAGAGAGCATAATAATCTGGTTTTGAGTGCCAGGAGGCCTCTATTGTTTTCGTTTGCTTGTTCTTACCTTCTTGACCTTTTCGACGCATATATCAATGCTTACGACCATTATCGAAGTTGCACACCTAAGATTAAGACTTCAGCAACTAAATCATTGTATGTAATGGAGTTTAGGTTAAAAGCTTTAACTACACCAAGGTCCATCCGCAGGTTGAAAATGTCTCTTGGCCGATCACTTGCGATGAATTTCAGTGGACAGGTCAGCCCGTTTCGTTATTGTCTGAGTGATGCTTTTAAAACTGAACGGTAACATACGTATGAAGCACTTGAATGCGATTGCTATTTACAACACAAGTGAATGTTTCAGCTGGTGGCCCGGGTTTTCTCGTTTGGTATCAATATGTATTTGCTGAGGGTGGTTGATAATGATGTGCTTGGTCTTGTGAACGTACGGTAAGCTACCATTACTACAGCTTTCGATGTGGGTTATCAAGAAAAAGCTCGTTCTCTTTTCGAATCTTCCTGGCACGGCGCTCATGCAGTTGCGCAGGCACTCGGCAGCACCTCTGTGTTCTTTCCCGATGAAGACTTCGGCTTACTGGGGGCTATGTTGCGCCGGGCACGTCCTGCCGTTGGGGAGGATTTTCGCAAAACACGATCCTCTTCAAGGGAGCCCTCCTAGTTCGAGCCTCATTCCCCGCGAGGGCGGGAGGAAGTGAGGTAATAGCGCTTTGAAATAGGGGAAACCAAGAAATGCCAACCGCTCAAAACGTTTTTCTAAAGCGAGTTGGTCTCGAAGTTAGTCTCGAACGAGTTCCACTTTTCGATCATAGTTTACTTCGATTTATCAGGAGATGGTAAAGATCCCAGTGACGAAGATTGTACGGCAGAGGAAAGCGTTCATTGTTATAATGTCGATAAGAAAAACTTCTCGATGCTATGCCTTCTGGAAAGCCAAGCTGACAGGGCGTCTTACTGAGGGTGCTTCCATTTTTTGCTTTTTACGGACTCGTCTCTTTAGTACTGGTAGTTCATAATTGTACTCATTACCCTCATCTGGCCACCATCTGGTACTCTGTGCCGTCAACAGACTACTGACTTTGACGTATGTTTTACCCTGTCTTACCATCCGCGACATCACATTGCTTCAGCTAGAAACTTTCAGACTATTTTTACTGTACAATACAATACTGTTTTTAACGCGGGAACCTATGCGGAAAGCAAATATCTTGAGATCATCGCTTCCTTCTTTCATAAATGTAATATGGCTCAGGTAATTTCGACTATTTTTCGCCCCGCTGTGTCTGTAACGCGTGCCTTTACAATTTTTGTTTTCAGCCCCTTAATATCGCTAGCATTGAGTGTGCTTTGTACATTATTTTGGCGGACGTTCTCTTCGAGTCACGATCTACCTTACCACGTGCTGCTGGCATTTCCTCTTTCAGCTGTTATCGAGTCACTCGCCGAACCCTTTGCGGTTATCTCTTTACGGTAAGCCTAAGTGTCGGCAACTTTGATTTGCTAACCTACATATGAGGTTGCCCAAAACTTTTCGATTCTAAATTCTTCCAGGTTCTCTCTTTCTGGTCATTTCGCCATTGCACAAAGTCTTTTGATATCACTGCAACGAGTTTTTGTTCTTGTTCTCATTCTATCAACTTCTATGTACCATCTGGATATATTTGCTTATGCACAGGTATGTAGTTCCCTTGAAACCACATTCCGCGATTACCCAAGCAGTGCTGGCCTTTCCTGCAGAAAATAGTCGGATTGACAGTCCTACAGGGTGTCTTACTTTCACCGTATGACTTTCAGTGTACGGACGCTGCACGCTCCCAAATTGGGCAATACTTCCCTCATTGACTGAGGAAAGCTACGCCCATTCCTAGAGCCTGATTGCTGGTGCGGTTTTCCCGTTACTACCAAGTCGGTAGATAACTCCGCTCGACATCGCGATCGCCGCACGCGCGATCACTAAATAGGGCATTGAGGGTTGACCAAGTGGTATGTTTAGAAAAGTTGATTTGAAAAGACATCTCTAGGAGTTGGGGCCATAGAAAGGGCAGTCTAGGCTGTATGGTCGAATAACTTATAGGGGTCGGCTAACAGAAGTTTAGAGCAGAGAACATTAAAGGAAGACTCTCGGTGAAAAAGTCAAATTTCAAAAATGCACTCAATTGTGTTCAGTTCAAGGGCAGTAATGACTTAGAAAATAAAGTCAAACTAATCTAGAGATTCAGCTGTTAGTAAGTCCAAATCGAAGAGTAAGAGTAGAATAAATATAGGACGTGCCACGAAGCTGCGTTCATACTTTGCGACCTTTTCCAACAAGCCCCACAAGATTGCGAGCAGATCTTGATAGATCCAAAATCTGAATCCACGATCCGACAAATCAACACGCGATTTCTTCAATATACAGGACCTTTGGAACCTCCTTCCTAGAAGTTCCCTCTATGGGAGCTTCTATAAGATAGAGTAATATATTATGTTACTAGATGATAACCACTGTTTCCAAACCCTCATCATTTTCTCGACCATCTAACCTTTGACGTCTCTTTTTATGGTCACATCCTTCTAAAAGTTTCTCTCCAAACCAACTTTACCGAAAAAATTACAATGACATTTCAGCCTAACATGTCCTATTAAAGTTCGCAGCGGCGCCAGTGCGCGAAGCGACTGGTCGCCGACATTTATGCCAATGGTGGACTTTTGTTAGCTAGACTTTTATTTTGTAGCTATTTTGCATCCCGAGTGGATAAGGGAAAGAGGATATACCCAGTTATGATAATTAGTTGGGAATTAAAGAAAACCGTTTTCCACGTTTCCGTCCGCTTCCCCCCTATTCACTTACTTGCTCCTCAACATTCATTCCCCGATTCGTATCGCAAAGCTTTTCCAATGTTCGCTTATATAGATATATATCTTTCGAAAAGTATACGACAATTTCTGTCACATTTATACAGGTTTATCATCTGCTGCGTACTTGATGTTCCATTACATTGGCTTCCTCTACTACTCGCGGAGTTCTTTACCAGAGCTAACTTCTTTTGCCGGATTTCGGAGTTTCTTCCCCCAACCAAGGTGAGAGATATGTTCGGTGGTGGCTCTAATTTATCACGTTGTTGCAAATTGCTTGTTCTGGCTCAACCTTTTAGTCATGGAGTTGAACGTGAATCTCTTTCTGCGATTGGTACTCTCTTTGCTCATTCCATTATGAAGCAGTTGATGACTGACGGCAGCGCGTACGTCATGACATTCACTGAATTACTGTCTCTAAAAAGTCAAGGTTGGAGTTTTTTTCACCTCATTTTCACTTCAGTATCTCATCAGCTTCATACTTGTAGCCGTCTATGATGCGGTTGAAAAAGTTGGCAGTCTCGTGGCAAGAATTGTATTGGCGCCATTGGAAGAAATGTGTTTCGCTTATTTCTCCAACACTGTCAACCAAAATTCAAAAATATTCAACAAAAGCACGGTGAGTCATTCCTAAAATCAAGTCTCAAGTAGTACAGTACTTTTTCAACTGGAGTCCTCTTATTGCTTCAGCAGTACTGCAAGGTTCTTGAAGTACACAGGGTCTTTTCAGGATACGCATGACACTTTGGTTCAAAACTTCTCAATTGTTTTACATGTAGCATGCGTTGTTGGAGTAGTTGTTTCGGTTTTCGGGATACCATACTCTCCTCTAGCGGTTTACCTTTACGGTGGACATCTTCTCTACGACAACGGGGGTACGTAATTGATTTTCTTTTACTGGCTTACTCATTTATCGTGTGAAAGTATTGTTCTTACAGGTGCGGTATTATTATCGCTCTACTGTATATATTTGTCCATATTAGCTGTTAATGGTATAACAGAGTGTTTTGCAATGGCAACAATGAGCAATACTCAGGTGCTTTTGTTTTGCTTGCAGTATTGCATATTTCTCTACGTGCTGCTAGGGCAGTTAGGGAGATACGCCGAGAAAAAGCAGCACCCTTCTTGGTTGCTTGTGACATGATTCTTTTTTTTGATAAGGCTCACCCTAACCAAAGCAGAGGAAGGGATCACTATCTAGGGAAGAGTGCAGACGAGCAGAAGCACGCCGCGATACCACTTGTAAACCCTTTAGGCATGCTTAGCTTCCTTGACACCCTGTGCAGATGTGTAATTAGTGCTCAGAATGTCAACCATCGCTGGGAACAAGTTTTCAGCGAACTTGTGATTAAGAGTATTTTGACGTTCCGTCTATGGCGCGGGCGCCATGTGGTTTCGGGGCAAGCCGATGTGATAGTCGTGCTAAGGATGTCAGACTACCCCGGGAGGCAAACTTTTAGCGAAATCTGTCCACGGAGAGGAAACTTGGTAAACAGTGGCCTGATTTCGGATGAATGGGGCAGTGAGAGTTGAGTAGTGCCATCAAATCCTATCGTCAAGCCTGGCCAGCGCGTGTATGGGTATGCACACTGCGCTCTTTGATCAGTCAGGTCATATGGATGTGTTTCAAGCAACCGCTACAGAAGCTCCTTTCCGGTGGACGAGTCTCAAGAGAAAAGCTTCAGGAATGTCATTTTTTCACGAGTTAACCTTCGTTCTAATGTAGGTGTTTTCACATGGAGGATTTCTGCTTCTGTCAGCTATCGCACATCTTATAGTGACTTTTATTTTGTGCACCTACATGAAAGCTGCGGGTTTTATAGTGGCAAACGCCATCAATATGCTTCTTCGGATTGGTTATAGGTGAGTTGAATACAAACGCCCGAGAAGTTTTTCGATTTTGCTCTACGTGCATTGACGTTCGGAACTTCTGTTTTTTGTTTTCCTTCCGGAAACAAAGCTTATTTACTCAAAATTGATTGCTGCGTTTTCAGCTGGAGGCACATTCGGAACTTTTTGGGAAATCGAACTCCACCCATTAGCACTATTTTGCCAACGTTTTCCACTTTTGTGTTTCCTGTTCTTCTCTTTGATGGCTACACTATTTACTCTTTTGGTGAGTAGCTCTTGTTACACTTACCTTTCTTCCATGTATTCGTTGATATCTGTCTCTGCAAATCAAATGTTCCAGTCATAGGGCTGTAACTGACGTCGGTCGTCATTTGAAGACAGAAGCTAGAGTAGAATGTCTTTTTTTTATTACACTTTTGTTACACTAAACTTTGTAAGGTGATGTAGAGTGGGGCTCGTGAAAGCTCACAGCTCCCATTTGCTTGAAGTACAGGCAAGAGACATCAAGCATCAAACCGCGGGCGGGGGGCGGACAAGTCTCCCGGTCACGTCATCTAGCCACAGTGGGTTTTCTGCACTGGCTAGTTTTATGAGATCTGCATTTCTTGGCAGGATGTTTCCTACTTAGCCTAAAATGCTAGTAGGGCGCTGTATAGTGGGAATGGCGAAAAGCGGAGTGAAACGGTCAAAATCCTGCGAAGAAAAAGCCTCCGTTCGCCAGTGAACTTGTAAATCCGATTCGGCAACGATGTTTCCGCGTACGCGTCTTGCCAATCAGCCGACTCAACCGGTGACGGCCTCATGTGTACGTATTGTATGCAGCACTCACCGGCCGGGTTCATACCAAGACCCTTCGCCTTCACTTAATATTGCTGTAGCCAAATACAACTCGCACTTAGAGCGTCCTCGGAAACGGTGTCCATTTGTGGGGCAGGCCGGGCCGCGTGACGGCGTGTCTGTGCGGTCGATGTGTGGCTTGATAGGGCCCTTGTAAGGGCACGTTCCTCGGGAAACCGCATTGCAGCGCCTGCCCAGGGTCGCGTAATTCTAAATCGCCAGGAGTATTGATCCTAGACGTCTTGGGGGATTTATCGTGCCAACTGCCTTTAAAGTCTTATTTTGAGAAAGTTCCAATATGTATGCATATGCATCTGAAAGTTTAATTGGCCAACTAGCATCCGCTGAAATGCAACGATTCATAAATAACGGTTTGAGGACGATACTGAAAGAACAGGGTAGGGTAACTTACCTGGAAATTGTTGCCCTCTTCACGGTGATATCCGCTTGCGGGTTTATAGTCACCTGGCCTAGCGGGATACTTGCACGTCTCCCCATGAAACCCATTCCCAGACTCCAACATTGTCCTTGTTTCAGGTATTTGGCTCGACTCCGGGATTGTCGCATATGATTGCCCATGTGGCAATCGGAGGCGTACTGTTTCTCCTTGTAGCGGCTCATATTGTCAGCACAGACCATGTCTCTCGGAATGTCAACCACATGAGACTCCAGAAGTATGCTTCGCTAAACGTCCCCTTTATTCTGTGATGAAGTCGTTCTCATTGTCGTGATGTGCATGTGCACAATGATCTCATTGTCTTTCCAGTCAAAGTTATCAATTTGTCGAGATTTAATAAAGTCATTTCAACTTTTGAACCATTGGAATATTCATCAGATTTGAGTAATTCTCGAAAAAGCTTCGAGTTCAAATTCTCAAGAAAGTGTTGGAAATAAATGACACCTAGCTTCGTCCTCGCATTCAATCCAGCGTTTCTTTTGCTTGCCATGGGAAAACCTCAGTTTGGTTGGCCCGAGGATCAAGCAACCGTTAAGGAATCCTCAATGGGGTGCTCACATCGGGTTCGCCGAACGAGGGATCGTATTTGGAAAAGTTGGTAGTCAACGGAACGGAACTGTAACCAGGTGTGAGCGGGATAAGGGTTAAAAGCGGAAGTGTAGCGGCGGCCCCAAAGAACGCATCCTATTGCGAAAGCTCAGGAAATTGTTTCATAAATCAAAACGACTTTGAATGATATTAGGATGTGAAGGTAGTCGTGTACGGGGCGCATACCATGACTGTGCCTAAATCCCTTTATTCGTCGGTTGGCCTTAATTATCGGTAGAAAAGATGTCCTGTAGGCATTCCGCCAGGAGTTGTGAGGAATAAAATCGAAATACTCACTCTTACAGCTCAAGAAGCTACTCGTTCAATTTGCAGCAGCATTTCCTAGGTAACTGGTCTGTAGCAGAATTACGATGCATATTAGCAAGAGCAAGTTTAGCAATTTCCAATATTCGAAATATAATATTAATACTTCTTGAACTTCCTTCAAAGTTACGTGTCCACGAAGTTATGGCCTCCTGGACTGTGGCAACCTGCGCGCCAAAGGTAGTTTACTCGTCACCCAGAAAAATTCTCAACGATTGACTTTTTCACGTGGCAGCCATCTCCAGAAGCTTTGATGTCCTCAGAAAAAAGAAATCTTCTTCTCCGCACCGGTTTTTGTTTTGTTCTGGGTCCTGCACTGCTCAAGTTATGGTCTCAGAAATTGAAAACTAGCTTCTGGAAATTTTTGAGGCGAAGTCCTAACACCTGCTTCGGAGACCATTTTAGTACCTGTGTGATAGATGTTATTTAGAGACCACGACTCTCGTCTAGCTTGCAAAACGCTGTTTCTGAAGAAGGGTAAAACATGAACCTCCATGGTGCAGTGATGGCAGTGCAGAGTGAGATGGCTCACTCGGTGGCGGTAAAATGTGACGCAGTCAAATAACACCCGCATTCAATATGACCCTTAAAGACAGCTCCCGCGATAAAAGTGTCAAGGATAATTGCTGATCAATTATGAAACAGTAGCTGATAAGTAATTCCTCAATGAAGGAAAAGCAACAAGAGCCCTCAAGAACACCATAAGGCTGCGTTTATACTTTGCGGCAGCGTAGCGTAGCGCTTGCGCAGCGTACGCCAGCGGGCAGTGCTGGGAGGGATGCATATCGATGCTAATGCCGTCACGCGTCACGCTACCGTTACGCCCACGTTCTCCAGCAGTCACCAGCGTTGTGCAACGCGTTTGCAGGGTCGGCAAGGGGAGTAGAGAGCTATGTGGGCGGTAGCCCGCGGAATTCGACGTGTATAGTAGAAGACCTAAAATGTGGCCGTCAGAGACGCAGAATCGATGTGTATTGTAGAGACTATGTGGCCGTCAGAGACGCGGAATCGACGTGTATTGTAGAGACTGAGGGCGAGTGAGAGACGCGCAATCGATGTGTTTTGTACCCTCCAGCTCTCCCATAGTCTCTACTCCCCTGCCGAAACGCTAGCAAAAACGCTGGCGTGACGCTGGTGACGCTGGGAACGCTAGATCGATATGCATCCTCTCCCCGGCACTGCCGCTGGCGTACGCTGGAAGCGCTACGCTACGCTGCCGCAAAGTATAAACGCAGCCTAAGCAAAATCGCGCTATGACAGTCACACCTCCTTGCGGTCTCTGTGCAAGTCCTGGCTCACAAATCACTTTGTCTTATCTCCCAGTAGTGGTTATCATCAAAAAAAGAAAACAAAAAGACAACAAAAAACTTAGAGGGAAAGCTATTGAAAAGAAAAATAACTTTTAAAAAGCCGCCCGAACTTTAGGGTTAGCGGTACATGTCATATTATTTTTTTCAAGTGGGTAGAGAAGTGGTCGAGCTTTTGCAGCCACAGAAATTGCGTCAATTAGTGATTTTTACGCGTTTTACCTTACGAGATGGCATGCACTTTGGTAATGTGCTCCCAATGAATAAAATGTGATGAAGGAGAGCAGAATTATTTATGGGCACGAGCGCGGTCAGCAAAAAGTACATGCAGTCTCGAGTAATGCCCGCCGTGCCAACAAAGAACAACTGAGCGGCTCTCCGTCAGAGGCAGCTTCAAGTGGAGGCGGTCCAACTAGCAAGGCCGTATAAGCCGAACTTTTTGCGCGTTGTAGGCTCACCCTCGCTGAAGATATCGCGAGAGTGGGAAATATCTAAAGTTGGGGCTGAATCACCTCGGCACAAGGAAGGATGACCATGTACTACTTGAGAACGGGGCTGTCTTTAAGGCTGGTAGATAAGTTCGCTTCCGCGCGACATCGCGGTCGCCGCACGCACGAACATCTGAACGGACGGGACTCTGTGAGTTGAAACCAACTGATATTCTCAGAAAAGTTGATTTGGAAAGGACATCCATGGGAGATACGGTCACAAAAAAGAAACAGTTAAAGTTGGACGGTCGGAAAACTGGTAAGGGATAACCGATGTTTGGAACAAACAACAGAGAGGGAAGTTTTCTTTGTGAAGAAAGTTCTCAACAACTTGAAAAGAATTGTTCTTGTGTATGGGAAAGAGCGCTCTTCATTTCTTCCGAAATTTATTGACCATGTTTTGGCCTATCCCTTTCTTCAGGTCACTGAATTACACAAACAAGTGAGATCTTACACAGGCATACAAATACAGCATCAACAGTCATCATAGAAGCGGCAGCAACCTACAGCGAGTTGACCGTGAGGGAGAGGTAGGGGTTGCCTAGCCTTCTTGTGCGGATATAGGCAAAAATAGGAAAGTGGCAGGGCTTCTGGGTATATATACAGATGTAGGACCAAGGGTGATCTAGGAAATGTCACGTTTTCTTTCCTAGTGTACGTCCTACAGTGATATCAGGCTCATTGCCACTCTCATCTCCTCCTTGTTGTTTTTCGATGGGTTTTGCTACTACTTAATTTCTAA